TGTAAACCGGTTATTTTTATAAATTTCCCTTTTATAAAATGGGTGGTAGGTAGGGCCGACATCATTCTGAACCATACCCAGTGGAACCATAAAGTTGTAGCCTAGCCTGCTTCCACACCATAGGTGCTCTATTTGGGCCGGCGTGCTCCTCCCTTCTCATCAATGTTCCCCACCACCGCCACCACCACCGTCAGCCACCACTTTTTTAATTATGACCACCACCCTACAACCACCGCCTTCCGCCACTACCCCACCTCTTTACCACCATCCCACAAACAAAAGGTGCACACCTTCACGCTCTAATCATCACAAATTGACTACCACTTCCGTCGCCCTACAACCACCACTTTCGCCACCGGTCCACCACCGCCCTTGGATTATCTCCGCTCATGAACTTTTTAATAGATTCATGACTTAACCACATGGATGGTGCCTGATTGGTTTGAGCATGGCTCCAAAGGTCAAAAGTGTCAGGAATTCCAGGTTCAAATCCAAGTAAGAACAAAAATCCTTTATGGCCACGGAGGTTCAAATGCGGTGACTTGAGGCTACGTGTAAAGCAGGTGGTTGTCTTGGAATTAGTCGGCTCGCATAGCGGGTTGGATAGCCAGATTAATAAAAAAAAAGATTCATGACTTTGGCATATCAGATTTTTTTTCTTTCGTTATTTAAATATTATGATTTGTTTTACTGATCGTGTTTTTTAAACGGTAACAACTTCATCAATTTGTAGACCAAAAAATGTCACTTTCAGAGTCCCAATCGTATCTTAATATTTGATCTTGTATAAAGATTAAAGGTTGTAATCTCGAAATGCAATCATAAATACAAAAAACGACAATCCTGTCAACCCAAATCAATTTATTGCTAATCGTAATCATAATGAATTACAGATTTTCATGAACAAATCAACATCACCGTGAAAGGTTTTTTTTTCTTTCAAAAACATTCTAAAAACAAACGCGCCGACAATTTTTGAGACAAATAACGTGTTACAACTGTATAAAGTAGGGTCGGTCCTTAATTAAAGTTATCTTTTTCGGTTGAAAAGTAAAACATGCAAACTATCGTTAATTAGAACATGACAACATTATTTAAAAATATAATTGCATATTGCATATACCGGTAGCACATTTATACTTTTACAGTCGTCAATTAAAACCAGCTTCAAACGAGAACAATAATCAAATAAAATAACACAAAAGCAACATAATATAAATTAAAAGACACAAAATTTTCATTTTTTGGGTAATCATATGTTTCCGCAGCTAACACACCAATTAATCCACCGGACGACCATAAATGACCTAAAGTCATCGTAGGTGAACCACCATAACCACAAAGGTTTTGGTAGTATTTGGATTCGAACCCAACAAAGACGAGATTTACACGACATCCCTGATGGATAAAAATCTCTCGTTTTTTATTAAGACGTGTGATTTTAGAACAACGGGTTTTTATCCATCCCGAATCCCTTTAAAGCTTAACCAATAAGTTACAAAATTTCTATTTTGCAATAAATTAAGAAAACTTTAATTAGTTACAATGATTAATGACAAAAAAAAAACATAAAAACAAAAACCATAAAAAGCAAAAAAAAAAAAATACCCTGAAAAAGTTAAAATTAATCTACTCGACTTCTTCAAAAAGCTGTCGAAAAAGAGATTGCTGAATGATTACAAGCATGCTTAAAGAAGCCATAATCAAGCTTCACTTGGTGCAGCAATCGATAGCTGCTTTAACCATTCAAACGTTCGATGACGTGAAACCGCCTGTTTTCCGTCTCCGATCATCGTACTTTCCTTCCGATTCTCATGGAACTGAAACATGTCGTCTTCTTTTGTCATCGTCGTCGTCGTCTTCTTCGTCTTTTCCTTTTTCCCAACCGTTTCTTTTCTCGTACTTTCGATCGAATCTGCAGAGCATTTACACCCACTGAAAAGTAACCTCTGTTTCTTCTTCGTGTTCTTCCGAGGATTCTCGATCTTGTTTTGATTTTGATTTTGGTTTTGGTTTTGTTCGATTGTGCTGTTCATACTGCTACTGGTACTACTGCTGTTGCTGTTATGGCTTCCGAATCTTTTGCTCCGGTTTTTTAGATCCGATAACCCGATTTCTTGCGGTTTTAATAACCCCACCTGTAAAAAGCTCCATAACGAAGACGTTTTCGGGTTGGAATGTGAGAGAGTCCGAAAGCTTTGGGTTCGGATCTGTGGTGATGGACTCGGGTGTGAATGGAACTGGTTTCGGGTTCTGGGTTTGTACTTATACCCGTTTGATAACCGAATCGTTTTCGGGTCGGTTCTGTTGCTTCTACTGTTAACAACACTCATCGATGCCGACCGATTAATTTTCCGGCTAAACTCAGCGGCGTCGGAGCTGACTGAGTGTCGTAACGGTAGAATCTGACCTTGGAAGAAGACCTCGTCGGCGTTGCACATATTTTCCGGTAATAGGGCGGCGGCGCCGCCGTGACAAGAACCGAATTCGAAGTCTTCTGTATCATCTTCATCTTCTTTCTTGGAATTTGTGCTGATTTCTTGGTCGTTTGTGGGAAGATCACAGAGAGATAGAGCTTCTTCTTCTTCTTGGTCTTCAAAACATTGATTTTCATGGGAATTGAATTGAACCCAATTACCATTGCAACGAATTGTTGCCATTTTTGTGATTGAAGAAATGATGGGAGGTCTGGTTTTTCTTTTATAAGGGAGGTGGGTGGGGGAAAGGAGAGAGAAGTGAGGAGAGTGGAAGAAGAAGAAGGTATAAGTGATTATAGAAGCAGGAATTTTCATATGTGATCCTTCATGTTTACTTATTAACAAGTTTGGTCCCTTTACTTTATAATGAATGTAGATGTGGCTAGACCGTTTCCATCCTAACACTAAAATCACAGTAATGGAGGTGTTTTAATCTCCAACCCAACAATAAAACACTAAAAAAAGCTCATTGCACCAACCGTCATGGCCTAAGGTTCGTGTTTCACGTCACGTTAAGCCTGTAACACGTTAAGCATTATTAATTTCCACTACTTATTAGTCATAACAAAAAATAGGCAAAATTGAAGGAAACAATAAATGAATCGAAATAGCTTGAGCAACACATGATGAAGCACATTAAATATGTTATGGTAAACAATACGGACTACAGTTGCATAAGGTTTGGGATCTTTCGGGTCTGAATCTGGACCTTCAATGCTCGTTTCCATCAATCAGAAGAAAGGTCTATAATATTTTAGGGATGGATAAGGTTGAAAAAGGGTTTAATCGGGCTTATTCAGGCCAAGGTTGGGGTCAGGCCTGCACCCAAAATTTTAAACTAATCAGGCTTCGGGCCCACTGGGCCCCAACTTCCGTTGTGTTTGGACCAGGCTTAAGCTTATTAGCGCGTCTCTTCAGACAAATATTCTATATAGGAAAATGTAATACATTATTGGATCATTTTCCATCGATAGCCACACCAATTCGGACAATTATGAAGAAAACATCATATATATTACAGTAATCTCTAACTACTGAAACTGTATCAAAACGTTTCCAGTTATTCACAAGTAACACGACTCAATTTGCTTCGCATCATCGAGTGCATCTTTAACAAAAGTGACCACTTTGAAAAACCTTGTTTCGTTGAAGTTGCTACCCTTTCTAACTATCACCTTGACATCCAACGCATCAAAAACCGACAAAAGCCTATAATTATATCACATACATTCATATACTCGTATATCTATACAGCCTTACATATTAACCGATAAATCTAATATAACTTGATTTAAAAACCTCGGTCAAACTCCATGAGTATAGACTCCACATTAACAAAACCCTGCACATAATTAACAATTGATTAGTGGAAAGCAAACAAACAACACTAACCATATATCTTAAAAGACATAGACATTGTTACTTAAAAAAAGTGTACATACCATATTGTCACTTAAGCAATAGTTGAGGGACTATTATTGTAAATTGAGCTTTAAAAATGGTATTTTTACAAATTTGATAAAAAGACGCCGGCTTCCATATCCAAATTTACTTGAACCCGTAACGCCCATTTGCACCATCATCATCCATTCGTATGAAAACTTAACTTGTAGTGAAGTTAAATGCTCCATCTTAAGTGGGTGTGGGCCATGCCACTAGTAACATATTCCGTACTTTTAACTACAATATCTGTTATCGTAACAGTTTTTATGAAAAAATATACTGTAACAATAAACTTGTTACACTACAAAACACTGTATATACGTACATGTGTGTGTTTTACTGTAGTTCTTCTGGTGTTACCAAGTTGATTTAAACATCTTGTAGAAAGATTTTGTTCCTGTATTAATACTGTTATTTCTCTTATTTAATTCTTAATGAGTTTTCTTTTTGTCTTTCAAACATAATATATGTGCATTCCTTAATTATATGCAAGATCCCCCCACCCCCCTAAGAGCGCAATTTATTTAAGACGTGTTCTTGAATTTTTTCTGATATTAATACGTTTAAAATACTTTTTATTTTAATTTATTTTAAAGAAATAAAAACGTTTTAATAGTGTTACATTGTGGTAAATATTTAAAAAGAATATCTATGTTTTAGTTCTTTTAGAAAATAGATGTAATTTAAAAATAATAATTCAATTTTACTTATGGGTTATTTGTTTACCTCTTAATAGTTTTATTAAGAGTCAACTTCTGAATTGTCAAGAGGTGAATCTTGTTTGACAAAAAAAAAAATATGACTCTTAATAGTTATAAAACCCCCTGAATGATTTTGTATAATGGATCTCCCTTAACCTTTAAGAGCTCTGATTTCATTGTACACAATTACCAAACAATTATATTTCATTTTGTACTATATCATGAGAGCTTCTTAATCATTCTGATCACTTAATCATTCTGCATTAAACAATTCAGCAAATGCCTAACAGCCCCTTAATATTTTCATTAAAAGGCAAACTCTGAATCATTAAAAAGTGAATCTTGTTTGGAAGAAATAAAGAAAGTTTGTTTTTTAATGGTTCTAAAACCCTCTAAATGATTTTGTATCTTGGACCTCCCTTAACCATTAAACGTTCTAATTTCATTGTAAACAATTATCAAACAATTATATTTCATTTTACACTATATCATGAGAACTTCTTAATCATTCTGCATCAAATTATTCAACAGCTGTCAAACAGTCTCTTACTTGATTATTAATACTTATCACAAAGTGTCGTTGAACCTTATTTTTTTTCCTTATTGAGAGGTTTTTTATTTGTCGAATATTTGTATTAAATTAAATATATAAAAAAATATAAATTTCTATTTGTTTTATTAAAATTAAAATTAAAATTATTGCAACATTCAATTATGTGGTATCTCATTTAATTAGTAATTTATTGTGTGTTAATGGCTATTTCAAAATTTGAAAATTCAAAATTTGTTACAAATGTCGTTATAAAATTTTGACTTTTAATTATATTGGCTGCCAATGAGTGCGATGTTTTCAACTTTTAATCCCACCTCTTTTTTAGTGGTCAAATGGTTTAGATACTAATCTTTCAAAATACAGTAAATTTCATTTTTGGTCCCTACAGTTTTTCAATTTCAACAATTTAAAAATTAAAACCACAATGGTGAAATTGTAGTTAACTGTATGAACGAAAAATAGTTAGAGGCCGTTTACCTAAACACTTACCCGGTAAGCACTTACCGATAAAATTCAACATTATCGTTTACTTATCGGATAAGATTTTATCCACTAAAATGCATTGTATGCAACAATTTATCCCGATAAGCGCTAACCATGGTAAGAGTCATCGTCCTCACTTACTGGGTAAAACTCTCGATTCTTGTCTTCGCTCTTATCGGGTAAGATTTTTAGTTCTTACCATGTTCATCCGGTAAAGTAAAATGACTTTGTAAGCGCTTACCCGGGTAAACATTTGGTAAACGGCACCTTAGAGTCAGTTTGGTTTGCAGGATTGTTTTTTAATGATTCGATGTCATGGAGGGATTTGGATTTGAAATTGTTGATGTATATGGTTTGTAGGATTTGGAATGTAATTAAATTTAGTTATTTATAAATAATTTATAGAAAAAAAATATAAATGATTATAAAAATAATTGAATTACATTTTTATTAATCAATTATTACAAAACAAATGTTTTTAACATTTTTTAAAACCTTATTGCATACAATCCTATACAATCACGAGCACTCTTTAAGGACTTCAAAATCATATATTTGAAGGATTTCAATTAAGGGGGTGTTTGGGATTGCTTATGAAAATAACTTATTGACTTATTTCGTTGTGACACCGGTAATAAGCACTTTTGAGTGTTTGGATAAACAATTTATACCGGTGCTAAACCGGTAATAAGAAGTTTTTGAAAAAGTTAAACCCTTCTGACTTATAATAAGTTGATAAGTGTTTTTGTAGAAAAACATAAGTTGTTTCAAATAAGCAATCCCAAACACCCCTAAATCCAAGGATTTCAAACCCGTACGATCCAACAAAACAAACATAAGATTAGAATGGATTTGAAATACAAATCCCCTCAAATCCATTCCATTCCTTCAAACCAAACCGGACCTTAGGGTTTTATAACTTCTAACTATGACCAAACTAAATTTCATCAGAATCGGGCATATTTGGAGTGCTTACTGATTTCATTTTCGTTTAAACTATTTTCATCTCAGTTTGAAACTGTCTGTTTAAAAAAGTGAAGTTAATGTTGTTCTGGCTTTACATTTGTTTCTAAATTAAAAAAAAGACCAAAGATTGCATTACACTCATGGTTCCGTTATGTAATTTTGATCTTTTCATTCTCAAATCAGTCTCTACGAACATTCCGAGAAGCATTTCAATCTTTCATACGTATCTTCCTTCAACAAAACAAAAACAATATTCGCAACGTAGGTAAAAGACATTTGTTTACGCATACACAGATGAGTCCCACGAAAACCCGTCATCCGATTGTCGTAATTTTTATGTTTTGAATTAGGATTTAAACAGATGTTTGATGGATCAGATAAATTAGGGGTAAGAGATGTCAAAAGGAGGGGGGGGGGATGCATGTGAAAATTGAGGTTGGCAAAGAGGATCTCATAAATGTGGGCATCATGGGAAGCTTGTGAAGCAGAAAAAGACGATTCTTATTTTCCTCTAAAAAATCATTAATTATATGTGTTTCTTTGGTTTAAGAGGAGGAACGGCCACCAGCCTCTAACGTTGTATTTATTGTCTTTCTTTTATACCACACACCATAAAAGTGGATTTCATGTGATCCCCAACAATGCCTTTTGCATGTTTTTTTTAACATTTTTTCTTTTCTTTTCTTTTATATATATTAAATTATTTTTTTAATTGTTAATTAATTTTATAAAATTTAAACCTATTAATAAGTTGTAAATTTTTATAATATAATAAAAATAAAAATATTTTTTATATGAATATAATCATGTTTGATCTTAAAACCAGGTTAGAAGTTTGAATATATCTATACTATATTATAAAACATTTGACACCACCTTTATGGTTGAAATACCACTTTCATAGTAAAAATATTCACAACGTTTTCATTGTTTTGGGTTTTCTTTAAGTCAACAGGTCCATGAAGTTTGTATCCATCAACACCATTTTCAGACCACTCGAGGTGAACACATTCATGAATAGAAACTTTTATTTTAAT